TCCATATATTTGGAAAATTTTCCTAATAAAAAATTGCTTTAAAAACATACCTGGCAGGGAGCCACCCAGCTTTTCTCCCTACATGTGCTCCAAGTGGCAGGGAACTCACAAGTCTCCCATTTGCACTCTGTTCAAACTATTGGAAAGTCCCTCCAGTTCTGAGTTAAAATTCCCCACTGTAAAGTTCCACTCACTGGTCTGAGCTCTACTCTTTGGGACAAAATCTTCCCTCACCTACTCCCAAGTCCAGCTTTTCATGATTCACAGTCAACTATCGCAGCCCCTCCCTAGTCCCTTTTCCAGTGTAAGCAGCCGGGAGGTGTTGTTGCGTCTCAAAGTGTCTCCGTCCCACGTGCCCTCTTCTGAATACACGTACCTTTATTTTTGACACACTCTTAAACATGCTGTCCCACAAGAAAACCACAGTTTGGCCATGCTCTGACCAACTCCCCAGGCAGTGGCCCTGTCACCTCCTTTGACCTGGGAATTCAAGGAATGCAGCTCAGACTGCATTCTCTGCTGGGGCCCTCACGTGGCCCTGGCATTTGGCTCAAAGGCAATTTTCCATATACTGCTCTTTTTTTCCTTTTTTTTTTTGAGACGGAGTTTCGCTCTTGTTCCCCAGGCTGGAGTGCAATGGTGCGATCTTGGCTCAACCTCTGCCTCCCGGGTTCAAGCAATTCTCCTGCCTCAGCCTCCCCAGGAGCTGGGATTACATGTTCATGCCACCATGCCCAGCTAATTTTTGTATTTTTAGTAGAGACGGAGTTTCGCCATGTTGGCCAGGCTGGTCTCAAACTCCTGACCTCAGGTGATCCACCTGCCTTGGCCTCCCAAAATGCTGTGATTACAGGCACGAGCCACTGCGCCCAGCTCCTGAGCTGCTCTTAAGTCTGTTTCCCCATCTTTTATTTTATGAGGTCATTCCAGAGTCACAATCTGCCACCATCCTTGGTGGGGGTCTGTTATATGACTGAATGTTATCCAACTCAATTCAACAAAACAAGAGCACAGAAACAGTCACATACCAGGTAAACACGGGGTAAGGACAAAGAGAAAGAGAGTAACCCTATATACCGGAAGCATCAGTCAACTACGCCATGCCATTCAGAGTATCTAGCATGTGTACAACTCTGGACCCAGCCCTAGGACTACAGAGATGAACAGTCTGGTATACCTAGCTCTCCAACCCTGAGCCTTGTGCAAAGCCGATGGCTCCCATCCAGGGAATGGGTAGGACATGCCAAGTTTGAGAGCTTTTCATTTTACCTCATTTAATCCTCACAACAATATTTTAAGGTAGGTATCATTAGTCCCACTTTATAAATGAGGAACCTGAGGCCCTGAGAGGTTAAGTAACTTGCCAGGAGCAACAAAGCTAGTATAGAGCAAGACCTGGAATAGAATCTAGGTCTATTTGATTCCAAAGACTATGCCCTTACCTGCTTCGTGAAACCACCTGCTATGTCTGAGCCACCCATAAAAATACTGACCAGATCAGGACTAAGGACCCCACAAAGAACTCCAGCAGGATTCATGCACGACTAGGTTCAAGCATTTATAAAGGCACTTGACTGCACTATCATCCAGTACTCCTCAATCTTCTCTACAAAACCTTGCTCCATGCCTTTCTGAAACCCAAGGACATCATCTGCAGCTTCCCCCTGCATATAGATGGAAAAAAAATCAAAAGAAAGAAAGAGTCACCAGGCTGACATCAATTACACAGATAAAGGAAATGAGCAACTAAAGAAATGCTTAACAACAAAGCTCTTACCAAATCCAGAGGAGAATATGACAGAATTTTAAAAAAGAGAAAATAAAGCTACAAAGGGAATTTCCTGGAAGTCAAGTGGTATCACTGGCACAGATGTTGAGAAGCAGGCCCACAGTCCCATTTAACCCCACTGTCCTTTTCCCTAACCTATGTCCCGATATAGGCACCTAAAAATAAGTGAGAAAAAAGTCATATATTAAAAAAAGAAAGAAAGAATGGAACTGCAGAAAATAACCAGAAATTATGCCCTATTGAGCACTGATACAAGCTAAATTAAGCCTGCACAGGCCATTTTTTAAATATGCAATTACTCTTCTTGACGGGGAAAGTTGAAAAATAGGAATAGAGTGGTTTTGCTTCCCGCCCCCACCCACTCCAGGGCTCCATCTTGCACATCTGTGTTCTCCCAAGCTAGCAATGGGGCAGCAATCCCTGCCTCCCCCAGTCCCTCTCCTACACAGTCAAGGCTCTCCAGTCCCCTCACCCCCTTCCTGCCTCCTTCGCCCCTGTTGGCACTACCTTGGTTCCCAGCTTTGTACCCATACCTGGCTGGGACTATCCAAATACCTCCCGATCTGTCTCCCTCCTTCCAGCCCAGTCCACACAGTGCCACCCAAGAACACTTCCTAAAAAGCACACCCTGTCACTCCCCTTCCTCAGAACCTCTGTAGAGAGTTCTCTACCCATGGCCTTCCGAGATCTGTTTCAGTCCCTCTCATCAATCTCCCCTCCTGCTGTCCTTCCCATACCTCCTGCATTTTAGCCACAGACTGAACTTGGAGGACTTTGGGATCAGATAGTCTGGGTCCAAATCCTGGTTCCATCATTTGCTAGTTCTAGGACCCTGGATGAGTTTCTTAACTTCTATCTCGAAGTCTGCTCCCCATCTGTCAGTGGGGTCCCTAATAAATAGTATTTCCTACATAGGACTGTTGTAAGAATGAAATAACGCTCCTAGACTACTAAGCATGATGCCTGGCACACACTACGTGTTTACTACTAACTGTTGTTGTTAATATCATCTCTGAAACATGCTGTGCTTTCCTCTACCTTGACTTCTTCACCTGCCTCAAGAATTTCTCTTCATCCTTAGAGGTCCAGTTCCCTGTCACCTCCTTCAGGTTTTCATTCCATGCTATTCACACCCCTATTACAGTCATCATACTGCTCTGTAATCACTTATTGTGATTATAATCACACATATATAATTATTGTGATTACAGAGCAGGTTTTGGAGACAAAGAACCCTAGTTTAAAAGCCTACCTCTGCTATTTACTAGCTGTGTAATCCTGGTCAACCTGGTTGACTTCTCTGGACTTCTGCTTCCCCCACTGTAAACTGGAGAAAAGAATAACCCACCTCACAGGGCTTCTGTAAAGACGAACCTAGCTAACATATGGAAAGTGCCTAGCACAGGGGCTGGCACATCTTAAGTGCTTGAACATCTTTTTCTTTTTTTTTTTTTGGCCTGAGACAGGGTGTCACTCTGTCACCCAGGCTAGAGTACAGTAGCATGATCAGGGATCACTGCAGTCACAACTGCGCGGGCTCAAGCGATTCTACCTCAGCCTCTCAAGTAGCTGGGATCACAGACACACGCCACAACGTCTGGTTAATTTTTTAAATTATTTATAGAAACGAGGTCTTGGCCTGGTTGGTCTCGAAATTCTAGGCTCAAGTGATCCTCCTTCCTCAGCCTCCTACAGTGCTGAGATTACAGGCATGAGCCACTGTGCCCAGCGTTGAACATCTTACCCTTTCCTACTTTACTTGGCTATCTGTTCCTTGCTGACTGTAAGCTTCTGGAGGACAAGAGACTACACTGTATTAGTTCAACACCTGTGAAATGAGGGGAAATGAGTAAGAAAATATATATATATTTTATATATTATATATTTTGTATATATTTTATATATTTTATATATTTTATATATTTTTATATATAATATATGTATATATATATACTGTTATTAGTCACTCCTCCACAGTTTATAGTACCTGAACCATAACAGAAGTTCCACAGATGTCAACTGATTCCCAAGTTGCCAGAGGAAACTAAAGCCAGTAGGAAACTGTCCTGAAGTCACGAACCTATGGCAGGTGAACCCAGAAAACATTATGCTAAGTGAACGAAGCCAGTCACAACCGGCTTCTTAATGTATGATTCCATTTATACGAAACATCCAGAACAGGCAAATCTACAGAGACAGAAGTACATTAGTGGTTGCCTAGGGCTGGGAGAATGGGAGGAGATAGGAGGGGGGAGTGACAGCTAAAGGAGGTGTTTCTTTTGGGGGGTAATGTTCTAAAAAATTATGGTGACGGCTGCACAACTCTGCAAATACACTAAAAGACACTGAATTGGCCGGGCGCGGTGGCTCATGCCTGTAATCCCAGCACTTTGGGAGGCCGAGGCGGGTGGATCACGAGGTCAGGAGATCGAGACCATCCTGGCTAACACAGTGAAACCCCGTCTCTACAAAAAATACAAAAAATTAGCCGGGCGTAGTGGCGGGCGCCTGTAGTCCCAGCTACTCGGGAGGCTGGGGCAGGAGAATGGCGTGAACCCAGGAGGCGGAGCTTGCAGTGAGCCCAGATCGTGCCACTGCACTCCAGCCTGGGCGACAGAGCCAGACTCCGTCTAAAAAAAAAAAAGACACTGAATTGTGCACTTTAGATAGGTGAACTGTATGCTTCATAAATTACATCTCAATAAAACTGTTTTTAAAACAATATAACCACAAAAAGGATCAATCCTAGGAGCGAAAGGGTTTCGGCCACGGAGCAACTTGCTCTTACGCAGAAGCATAAATCATCAGGTCAAGGTCGCTCCGGCCACCAGGTGCCGCGGGCAGAGGGACGGTGGAGGAGACATTCTCCTTTTAAAAGTGGCCAGGACGTGAGCCTCTGAGAGGCTGGACCCCCGGGCTGAACCGGACCCCGCGCCCCTCGATCGCGCCGCAGGCCTTTCCTGCTCCTCCAGGGCCGCCCGGCCAGGCCTGTGTCAAGTCCGGGCGCCGCGCTCCGGTGCACCCAGCTCTCCGGGGGAAGAGTGCGGACTGCGAGGGAAAAAATGCTGGCGCGGGTGGCCCCTAGGTCTTCTATAGGTCCGAGGACACCCAAGGCCGCCACATCCCTAGCCCGCCCCAGCCACCCAGTGGCTCCAGCCGCGGCTGCCCCCGCGCCCCCGCCCTCAGCCTCGGCCTGCGCGGCGCGGCTCACCAGCCTCCAGGGGAACGCCAGCCCCGCCGCCGCGGCGACGAGTGCGCCTGCGCCCCGGGGACTGAGCGGCACCGCCCCTACCCGGCGACGGTGAGCCCAGCGCCCTCTGCCGGCCGCGCGCGGGACTCGGGGTCCTACTGGGTGCCTCTTCCTTGATTCGACCCCACCCAGTTAAAAAGGAAAGCTGCCCCCACTAACAGCCTTCGTTACCTGTTACCTCAAACACCCACTCTGCCTTCTGGCTGTTGCTACGCCGGATATAAGCCCTAAAGGTACTCTCTCCTCCTTATTCCTGAATATGGATTGTGCTAAAATAGTAGGGGTGTTCAAGATCTCTGAAAGGCTTGCTGGAGGACTTTTCCTGAACCTCTCGTGTTGATGACAAGAATTGTGTTTGGATAGGAATCTGCGTTTTGAATCATTTCATCAAATTACAGTCCCATAACACCTGTCAAAAGAATAAATATGACAGTAATAAGCATGCTTCCTTTCAGACCCATCTATAATTATAATTGAGGAAAAGAATACAAAATTTAAACTTAGAGCTACTGCCAGTATCATTCTTTGAAAATGAAATAATGCTGTTTTATTAAATACGCTCTCCCTGCTCTCTCATGTTTAAAGCTCCAGTGCTTCTCTGAATTGATTTAAATACAAGTTTTATATCCTGAAAGAAATAAAGATGAGTCATTATCTTAAGACAAACCCCCTGTTCAATGATGCTGCTGATCTCTCCGCTGATGTCTAAGCGGGAGTTAGGTGGTTAGTGGATAATATTGCTTCTGTTCACGTCTCTCTTCTCCAGGGCTTTTTAAACCTATTCGTAACGAAAAGGCTGATTTCCTTCAGACTCCATGTGTCGTTGATTTAACAGGACAACTTCTTACAATTTTTTCTTTTTCCGTTTTCTTTCTTTTTTTTTTTAAGTCAAACATTGCTCCCCGATGGCACCTGGAAATTTATTTCTCTTCTCTTAGGAAAAGAGAAGCAGGGATATTTCTTAACGGAAGTTTTGTTTTGTTCCTCCCTTTAGGCTTTAGAGCTTTCTGTTTTCTTTTTTTTTTTTTTTTCTCTTCACCTAACATACTAGACTTCCCTCAAATCGGGGCTGGGGGATGGGAATGGGGGGTTCCCTCCCTTGAAATATTCAGATAATTGCCTCCATTTATTTTAAAGATGTAGACTTGGACAAATATATCTGAAAGATACAATTGTACCCTCATAAATCAGCCCTCTTATTTACACATGCATAATCAAGGGCACGTCATTAGTGCAGAGCCAATCAATAAATCATTAAGCTTTTAAAGCCCTTATTAAGAACAATCTGCAGTAACATCATCCACTCCTGTGCTCAGTCTTAGGATCACTTAATAATTTTAAGAAATTTCACAGTCTGTTCTCTAGTCTCATCTCCCTTTTGTTCCTAGATCGCTGTGTTCCTGCATCAGAAACATGGTTCTAATACCTAGAGCTCATAAAATATTCAAGATGCAAGCTGTTTGCTTTACCTCTGAAAGGCTCCACCTTCAGAATCACTTGTGCCTCTTCCAATTTTATAAACACACAAGATTTTAACTTTCACAAAAATTTCTTATAAACATCCAAACGCTAAGAAAAAAAATCCAAAGTAGAAGAGATTTGAACAGCAATCTCTAATTTTTTTTCCAAGTCACAATGGAAACCTAGATTTGAAAATAATTAAATTTGAACCTTTTAACTTGACAGCAACCTTAGGTTCTTACAGCTTCAATAGTAAAATGAAGTAAGTTGTACTAGTGCAAACATTAATTTAAAATGACACCAGTCTCATAATCTAGTAAAACCCCAACCATTTTTACCATGTCATTTTCCTATACACCGAAATTTTAGCAGATGAACACCCTTACGTCAGACAGTGCATGATATTTACAGATAAACAAAATAGACTTTTTACTTGAGAAATTAGTCACCCACTGTCCAGGGGACATGTCTGCACAGGGGAATTTGTTGACTTTCCTAAGAAATACATCACCACATTCTCTTGATTTCTGACATTATGTCATTTAACCTGACAACTGCAGGTTTGTAACCAATATTTGTAGGGAAAGATACAAGAAGTCCTGACGTTTCCAGTTTAAACCTGCTTTTAGATTTCAAAGAGAAATGATAACATTTGCATCCTCTGATTAAATCAGGTTATTGTCTCCAAGGTTGACCATGTAAATAATTCAAATTAATTCATCAGTGTACAATAGGTTTAATAAGCATAATAAACACTTTGAAGAAAATACTTAAGACCCTCGGTCTGCCCTGGATCTTGCTCGCCATTATCTCAGATTTCCCTGAGAACAGAATGAGTAGTACCACGTTGTTCTCTTCTATTCAAAATATGCAAAGTTGCTATTTACCAGTTTGCAATTTGCATGTCTCAAATCCTGCCAGAACACAGGGTGAGGGGCATGGGGTGATGGGTGAATATGCCAGAAGAGGACACCAAGGGCGAAAATGGAAAATGGGGTGAACAGATCTTCCTTACCCCAGCGTATTGCAAAACACAACTCTTGCTGACTACTCAAGATTTAAGACAATAAAAATATTGGGTATGAAAGGTTATGTGAAATCTCAGACATCTAGTTTGTTTTTCTTTAATTGCTGGGTGAAAGAAAGGGATGAGCAAGGATTTCAATATTTTTATAAAAAGGAACACAAGAGGAAAAAGGGTACAATTGTGACTATTTAGAACATACACTTGGAGATTAATTTATGGGCTAGGTTTCAGCCTTCCTGGTCCTCCGTACTTTGTTACCTTCTGCAGCACCATAAATCCAACTTTGCTGATATATCATTCTCTGTTTCTAGTGTGTTCTGTAGTAATTTATTAACAGTGACCACATGTGAAACCACATTGGTGATCAGATGTATGTCATCTCTGAATATGTCCCCACTTTTTTATCTCTTGAAAATGTGTTCAATGTCTCATGATTTCAAATTGTAAATAACATACACACACACCCCCATAATTTTTTGTATGAATCACCTTTGGAATAGAATTTCTTTTTCATAAAAAGTTCAAGTGCATGCTGGATGTGTATGTGGCAATATTACCGAAGGAGTGAATGTGCTTGGGAACATTTTTCTTTTTTGCATTTTGACAGCATTTGACTAAAGATCCACTTAAAATTGCCTTGCTTACAAAGTGTAATTCAGTTTTCACTGACTATATCTGCAGTGTCTTGAGATGTCCAGAGACAAGAATTACATGCCACCATTAATAGAAATGGAGACTGTAAGAATAATCAACTTTATTAAATAGGACTATTTGAAGAAAGAGGAGAGACAAAGGGGTGAAGAGAAGGAGAGAAAGAAGAGAGTGAAAAGGAGGGAAGTGGAGAAAGAGTAAAAGTAGAAAGGAGTTATCCTGTTGATGCTGTCCCCAAGAGAAAGGGCTGATAGAGTTTTAAGTGTAGCAGCCCAGGAAAAAAAAAAAAAAGGCAACATTAATGAAGGGAAATCATTTTTCGACTTGGCCAGGAAATAGGGTGTTCTGGTCAGTCAACTACGTGGTTAGTAGTTACCTTCCACTTCAGCAAACATCTGTTGAAGGAGTAGACTCCTTCATGTGCAAAACTCCATGCAAGACCCTGGGTCATAGCGGAGGCCTCTGAACTCTATCCCTGCCATGTGGGCTCTCCTGTCCTTCTCCACTATGGTTAGAGACAGGTATAATCTTATCGCTGTCCTGCTGTAGTCCCCTTAATGGCTTATCGGTGTTCTCTGAATACATATGCCAAACTCCTTATCATGTCCTACGAGGTCCTCCAGAGTCTGGCCTCTTAAGCTTCCATCCATGTCCCTGTCCTCTGTGGCAGCCACAGTGGCCTTTCGTGCACTCATTGTATCATGTCCTTCCACCCTACTCCTCCTTTAGATCCCAGCTAATAGATCTCTTCCTCGCCTTCCTTTGACATCCACATTCCCACCCCATAATGGAGCAGGTCCCCCCACCCAAATAGTAAACTGTACCTTTCTCCACGGCATGCATCACAATTTATAATTACATATACCTCAGTTTGGATTCCCCCCAGAGAAGCCCCTGAAGCAAGGATTTGAGAGCAAGTAGTTTATTTAAAAGGTGGTTCTAGAAAACACTAAGTGAGAAAATAGGGAAGTGAGGCCAGGGAACGGTGGCTCACACCTGTAATCCCAGCACTTTGGGAGGCCGAGGTGGGTGGATCACTTGAGGTCAGGAGTTCGAGACCAGCCTGGTCAACATGGTGAGACCTCATCTCTCCTAAAACTACAAAAATTAGCTAGCCAGGCGTGGTGGTGAGAGTCTGTAATCCCAGCTACTCGGGAGGCTGAGTCAGGAGAATTGTTTGAACCTGAAAGGCAGAGGTTACAGGGAGCATGCCATTACACTCTAGCCTGAGTGACAAGAGTGAAACTCCGGGAAAGAAAGAAAGAAAGAGAGAAAGAGAGAAAGAGAGAGAGAGAGAGAGAGAGAGAGAGAAAGGAAGGAAGGAGGGAGGGAGGGAGGGAGGGAGGGAGGGAGGGAGGGAGGAAGGAAAGAAAGAAGGAAAGAAAGAAGAAAGGAAAGGAAAGGAAAGGAAAGAAAAAAAGAAAGGAAAGAAGGAAAAAAAGAAAGAAAGAAAGAGAAAAGAAAGAAAGAAGGGAAGTGAGGCAAGGAAAAGAAGGCAGCCTGTAAAGAGAGCCTTCCCAAGCAAGTTACCACTGAGCTTCGTCCTGCTGGGGAAACAGTATGGAACCCACACCTTGGTTATCCCACCTCGGGTATTTATATACCAATTCCTGTTAGTTACAGGAATACAATGCTCTCGTCATACAATGCTCTCGGGGGCACTAACTCCCTGGTACTTCTGGCCTGCCATGATCTCAGGCAAAGAGATAGAGATGCTGGTAGTTGGAAATCAGCCAGGTATACTGCAGTGGTAAGGCACAAGGGATTATGGGTGGGGCACTGACAGTTGTGGTAGTTACATAGACATGGACATTTACATATAATACATACATATATATGTGTGGGTACATGTAGATAGACATACATTTGTGTGATTATA